GGGATCATTTGATTCTTTACTTCTTATACTTTCAAGAGGTACAATCTCGCTTTCTTTTTTTAAATAAACGTTACAGGCAATAGTTAGCTTATTAGTATATATCTTACGTAACAATTTGACCTTATACTATGTCTATTAAAATTATACATTTTCACGTTCCGCCGCCTCCCAAGGTCATATACGTCTGTAAATCTTAATCAACTATATCAAGGTGAAATGACGAAAGAATCTCAGTTATGTTACTTAGTAAATACAGCTATTTATTGCACATAAGTACACAGAAGTATGTTATGTATTAGTATACGAATGTATGGCTACTGCGCATTAAAACGCATGTTTTTCTTTTACATTAAAAAGACATCGACGCGTTTTATTTGCATCATAATATTATATTTGCATTTATTTTTAAAAGTATGAAATAGGTAAAACTCTGAAATGTTCTTCTAATTTTTCTTACAATTTTTTTAAAATTAGTACATATTCTATAATATAAAAATGAATCGCAAAGTGTTGGTAAGCGCATAACTTAACAACGCCTGGACCAATTTGGCCAATTCTTTTTTTTAATGTTCGTTAAAGTTAAAAGACGCCGAGAAAACATCGAATTATTGCCGGGAACTAATTTTTTTTTTCATTTCACGCGGACGGCGTCGCGGGCGACGTTTTTAATAAAAAGATCGAAGTATTTTGTAATATTCATTATAAACGACATTATATCACGAACTAGAATATTCACTTCAGAAAGACGGTTTATGTGCCGTTATAATATTACATAAAGTTTAACCTGTTTAATCTAGTATAACTGAAGTTTGCAATTATTTAGATAGTTAAGTAAACATGCAAAAAAAACATTACACAACTAATTGCAAAGATTAATTATTTGAAATGATCTTTTAAAAGACGGAAAATTTGCAAAACTGCGAAGTAACTGCGATAAAAATGATTTTAATACTTTGTTTAGTTACGTTTCATTAAATAGAAAGTTCGGTGATAATATGAAATAAATTGTCACTCCTGTATGTCAGGTACCTTAAGTCAGAAAAAAGGTACATTCATGGTAAAAACAGCGTCGTTGGCTCAGGAGTCAAGCATTTGACTTACAATCTGTAGGTCCTGGGTTCGAATCCCGCCATGTACCAATGTGTTTTTCTATTTCCAATTTATATATGTGCATTTATCCGACGTTCTTACAGTGAAGGAAAACATCGTGATGCAATCTGCACATATCTGGGAAGAAATTTTAAAAAAATACATGTATGAAATCAACCAACACGCACTGGGCCAGCGTGTTTGACTAGTCTGGCCTAGTCACCCCTAAGTTAGGGTAGGCTTCGAGCCCCTCGGTGGGTACGTATAGTGAACTGATGATGGATAACTAACAATTGAATGAACTGTCACAAATAATATTTCCTGTCAAAATAGTTTGTATTTCACAGCTTATTTGGAGATTGATTTAACGCCAAAGACAACCTTAATCGACTTTATTTGACAATTTTTCAAAAGGCTTAATTCAGGACTTACTTGGACATTGTTAAACGAGCCTTAAGAAAAACAACAGTAGATGGAGAAAGTGTGTTAGGACGGCGTTAAAAGGAAGTCTATCTCTGCCTACCCTTTTGGATCAAGAGCATATTCAAACGATATTAAAAGTCGATTGTAAATATTGTATAAGAATTAAGAAAATTAATACTTAACTTTTCAGGTTTGTAATAGAACCTTTACAAATTATTATTGCTTCATATATCAGAGCCTCTCAGTTTAATAGAGCCTTGGCAACGGAGATCGTTCGCCAAAGGTTACGGATGCAGTAAATTACTTATGTTACTTAGAACCTAACTTACATGCAATATCAACTTTAATTACTTAAATGTCACTTTATACTGCGTTTCTAAATTTAGCTTAAACTTTAAATGTATTGCTCTAATAAATATTGTTAGACACTGTTTACTTAAACGCGTGTTTTAACCTTTTGACCGCCGATGATGACATTGTGCACGTGTACGTAGTTGTACAAGAGTATTTTTACCTTTAACTATTTATCACCAACAATATTTCCGGTATAAGTATTCTTTTTTTTTAATATAAATATTAGCAGATTTTTTGTAAATTCAATAATATTTTTTTTTACCATTCCAACTAAGCTCTAGGCTTGTGCTAGGACATGGTTTACGACAGTAGTCGAATGGCGGGATTCGAACCGCCGACCTCTTGATCGGGATGCCGCACCCTTAATCATTAGGCTATTGACGCTTAAATTCTGTTATTTATTTGTCAAGATCGTATTTCGGAAGCCTACTTAATCATATTTCTATCGTGATATTATAAATTACCAGAAATCATGTATATCAGGGTACCATGAACTCTCGAAGGTAAGAAATTTCTCTGCCTTCTTGAAATATGTCTTTACAATAATTGTTATTTCGGAGTCAGTGTCGGCCTGATGTCTTAGATCTATTTACGTTAAAGATATTACCTATACTGAAACCGAACACACATAAAAAAACATACAGACGAATTGATAACCTCCTTATTTATGAAGTCGACTAAAAATGAAAGACTGAACAATTGAAAGACTGTCTTAGTTTTTTTATTTAGTAGCTTCTAAATATCAGTTTAAAATGGTCGTAGAATCTGAAAGATATAGTACTGTTATACATTTTCAAACGTATTACGTTACATGACAAACAGTGGATTTACATTGCGTCAATAACTGAAATAAATTGTTATTACTGTTTAAAGAGAAATGATATGATTAATACAGCTTCTACAGTGAAAGCCAAGGGTTAATAACTTCTTATTCTTCTAACATTCGTTTAATTTAAAATATTTAACAGGTACCTGAATTTCTATATAAGATACAATGATTATATCTCATTATATCTTTCAAATAACCGTCAGTTTATAATATTGAGTCAACCAACTGTCGTTTAATTTGTTTTTATAAAATGATAATTAATTGTTAAATATCAACAACTTCTAGATTGATTTAAATAAAATTTCAAAGCGACCAATATTTTTTTATCAGATCCGCATTCTTTTTTTAAAACGAGTTTTTTTGAACAGAGTATTAAAATGAATCATTTATTTGACGCGTGACATATGATGTTAATTTTTATTATTCAAATAGAAAGAAACAATTAACATTTTTAATTTAAAACGATAAATAGTATTAAAAAATATTGTAAAATAAATTATTAACTATTTAAATTCAGTATTGCTTAATTACGCGTAGACGTAGCAAAAACAAAACTAGATTTGTAACTTAAATACTAAACAAACATATTTTATTAATCAATTAAAATGTCTAAATATGTAGGTAATTATATATTAGTGTAAATAATTCATTTGTTACCTTAATTTTGATTGAATAAATTATTTCACAGAGATAAATATTTTCAAAAATCACTCACTTTGGTATTCGTAGCACGAATCCGCGAAACGACCGATCGCTCGACTGCGCGGCACTCACTGACCGAGAACGAAGGTGAACTGGTGGAATGACTGAATGAATGAACCTTCCAGAAGCTTGCACAAGCTCGGAACTAGATTGGTAACTATGACGTATTTCAATTTGCGCAAACGCAACAAAATTTAGTTTTCTTACCGTTGGTTTCTGAGACCAATATATCTGGAAACATATCGTCATCGCTGTCATTATCTACAAAACAGAAGCAGTCTTAGAAACCCACGGTTAGACAGATAATACAAAAACCCACTGACCTCAATTCCACTGGACAGATTATAAGCCGTTTTGGCACCGATTGTAACGGAGTTGGAATCTTGACTTACGATGAACTTAACCATAGAGCCGACAATAATTTCAGCTGGTAGATTTAGAACAAAGCAAACGCTATAATTTCCAAGCACCACGTAAATTTATAGAAGATCGTCTGAACAATACTTTTAAGGGGTTGCTCAGGCGCTTAATAATTAGCAGTGGAGTTTGCTGGATTCAGTGTAAAAGGTATTTTTTTTCTCGTATACGTTTATCACAGACTTGTATCTTAAAAGTGCAGGTAAATCAAATAAGTTACATTTTGTCGTCCATCTTGACTTATGGCGCCTGTGTAATAAATTAGTTTGTAAAAGCAATGTGGAAATTTAGCTATTATAAAATAACAGGCGCTGTTTTTAACTAAATACCCTTTTACAAATGGGCACCCAAAGACTAAGGAAGTTTTATAACATAGCGGCCCGCATATCAAAAGGTTTAAATCAAGTGTTTATTTCAGATACGACTGGTGATCTGAAGTGGCTGGTGAGATAATGACGAATGGAACTATTGCCTTTACCTTTGATTTTAACGAAGCAATTTTCAGAATACAAATATAATTAAAAAAAATTAACAATTTTTAAAATCTTTGTTTTAAAACGCAGACAATAGATGGCGGTATGTCATTAGAGCCTGATTTAGAGGGGGATTTTTGTTTTTTCTTAATTAAGATTATTTAAACAAGCCTCATGATTGCGTAATTAGTAAACATAGCAAATATAATAGGTAATTAACAATAGAGATTATTTCCCATGAAAAAAAAATGTTTTATTCTAATTAACTTTCAAGGATAGACAAAAAACCTTTGATATGTTTCCGTTACGTGGGAACGAAAACTACGATTTGGTTTATTTATCTACTGACTACAAAGCCGTGAGGGCTACAAACATACAAAACAAATAAAATAAAGTGTTTGATACCAAGAAATTAAAGGAGTAAGTCATATTTCATTTAATTAAAATTAATTGAAAAATAATTATTTATCCACAAAATATGACCTTATAGAATATTAAAATTAATTCGTATTTTAATATATTTTGTATCATCATCATTGTACATGGCGGGACTCGAACCCAGGACCTGCAGATTGCAAGTCAAGTGCTTGACTCCTGAGCCACCGACGCTCTATACCGACCGAATACAGGAGCTACACTTGACTTGCAATCTGCATGTGTTTTTCGATTTGCGATTTACATACGTACATTTATCCGACGTTCTTACGGTGAAGGAAAACATCGTGATGCAAACTGCACATATCTAAGTAGAAATTTAAAGATATATGTGAAGTCAACCCGCACTGGGCCAGCGTGGTTGACTATGGCGTAATCACCCTTAACTTAGGGTAGGCTCCGAGCCCTTCGGTGGGGACGTATAGTGAGCTGATGATGATATTTGATATACGGATTTTAAAATAAACATATTATACTATTTTTTCCGACGATAATACTATACTTCTTAATTATTATGAACACAGCAGAGTAAAGTTTTAACAATGATTGTCATGTTTTTTGTTTCGTTAAATTTAATTTTGTATTGAATAAAATTTATAAGTTTATTGCACCGATGCTAATAAGTGAGGTGTCATTTGATTTGTATTCTCTCTCCTTAGTTATTCTTTTTTTTTTTAATTAAGGACTTAAGTTTTTTTTTTATTTATTTCTAATTTTAATATCATGTTCCGGAAAAGTTTACTACCGATTTTTCTTGTTTGAAAAGATGTAATGATTTTTTTAGATAAAATGCAGTCTCTTCAAATAATAACTGTATCGGTTCCAGAAGAATGTAAGAAGAATGGAATAAAAGAAGAGGATATCAAGAAACTTAGAGAATGGGTTAATTCACAACCACATTTACCCAGTGATTTAATAACAGGTCAATATTTTAAAAGAAAATTTAAGATTTTAAAACTCTTTACGAAGATATGAAGAGTATCTGAACACTGTAAAGGAATCCAAAGACACTTTTTTACTTTGCCATTTGACAACTCGCACTGGGACAGCGTGGTTGACTATGCCCTAGTCACCCTAACTTAGGGGAAGGTTCTTAGCCCTTCAGTGGGGAGGTATAGTAAGCTGGTGATATGATAAAGACATTTTTTTTGTTACTTTTGGTAACTGATTTACCCTGAGTTTCTCAGACCCCTCTTAATAATATTTTTTTATCTCTCTTTTGTCAAAGACAATGACAAGGATGACGATATGTTTTATGCAGCTATTTTGGTATTAGAAACCAACGTTAAATTGACTTTTAAAGCGCCCGGTAAACTATCAAATTCGACAAATAGATCGTTAACCCTTAATTTGATGAAATTTTTATAGCAAAAAAACTGTTTTTTTCTAGTAAAGTCATACTTACGTAATTTCCCCTATACTAGTTCAGTTGATTATTTTAAGTTGTCACACTGGACACCATCGAATTAAGGGTTAAGTAAGTGATATAAAAGGCTAATAAGTTAAACTTTTATCACTTACCTAAGTATTTTTTTTTGTATTTATAAAATTAATTTATTTACTCCTTTCCAGATTTGGATCTTCTACTTGCATTTAATGCTTGCAACCAAAGTTATGGTGTAACGAAACAGGTCGTAGATTTACACTACACATTACGTACGATGTTTCGTAGTTTCTTCTACAACAGATCAGTAGATGATCCTCGTGTATTAAAATCTTTGGATGTTACGTAAGTAACAACACCGATATTGGAGTATACAAAGAGCAGATTTTTTAATTCAAAAGTTGACAAACGAACAAGCCGATCGCTGCCCATGGACATCCACAAATATAGATTGCTTAACTTTAATCGACGGAAGAAATTCACAGAAATAGGATATTTTCTCTTCTTAAGCGTCTACTCTATCAAATCCACTTCCACTTCCCATCCTTTCCTTATAAAAAATGGTGGGAATGGAACTTACCTAACCTAACTTTTGATAAAAGTTTTTTAAACAAATATTTGTCCATGTGTGATATTATTGAGAATCATTGAGAAGATAGACAACCATAGACTAAGATATACAGATGAAATCGTAAATAAATCCAAATCTTGTTGTATTACGTAATTTTTCAGGTTGTCAACGCCTTTACAAGTTCGTTCGCATGACGGCTCGACAGTAACTTACCATTGTCTACTTGATTACGATACTAAAGTGTTTGTGCTTGCCGATATACTGAGGTAATATATATTACTAACTATAAATAGTTATTCGCTAAAATAGCGAATTGTCAGATGCCTGAAACTTGCAAATAAGCTGCAGATGCGTTTCCTACCTTTAATAGACAGAGAGAGGTACAGAAACAGATTATAGCACTGTTTCTATACGTTCCCTGACTCTGTATAATACATATAAGCTTTCTAAGTTTCTTGTAAGAAAAGAGAACTGTAAGAGGACTAGAACTTGGCCTCTACAATTTTATTTTGAGTAGTTGCACCGATGCTGCGGACCCTATCACTGTTAATATATTAGGTTAATATTTAATAATAGCACGTCTCTATTTCGCACGATTTATATAGATAAAATATAATATTAATGTTGCTCATTTATAGAAGAATATGACGATTCAAACTTATGTATTAAGACGATTTCCGATACCAAAATCACCGTTTAAAACGTATTGTTATCTCTGTTTTGTCAAAGATAATGACAGGGATGACGATATGTTTGATACAGAGATATTGGTCTTTAAAACCAACGGTGAGTATTCGCCTGCTATCTATTTCAGAACTGCGATTATGTTGTTAGACCTCTATCAGTACGAATATGGTGCCTGCCCCGGACTGAGTGTTATTGTTAACTTTCAAGGTTCAACACTTGCCCATTTGGGAAAATTGGAAATTCTTGTAGTACAACAATTCCTTTATTATTTACAGGTACATTTAATTATTACATATTTTATTCCAAACTAGTTATCGCCTGCGACTGCGATCGGGCGAAATTAAAATAAACTTAATTAGTAGCCTTTGTGTTGCAGACTGTGTTATATATCTATGCCAAATTTCAGCAAGATTCATGCAGCCCTTCTGGAGATACCTTCAAAGAAACATCAATCCATTTAAACTTTCGTATTTATAATATTAGTAAGATGACCACATTACTCTTGTAATTATAAACTTCTTTCAGGAAGCAATGTTTATAAAGATAAAAGAGGTCCATGTATTAAACGCACCGTCATTTTTCGACAAACTAATGTTATTTTTAAAACCATTTCTGAAGAAGGAACTTTTAGAGGCGATTAGAATACACGAGAAGGGATCCTCAACGATTGAATCGTACGTACCCATAGCTGGGTTACCAAAGGACGCTGGAGGACAGTACAAAAGTTATAAAGAAATTAAAGGTTAGAGCCATTTCTTTTTTATACTACTAGTATTCGACTTTCAGATTGAAGGATATTAAAGATAGACTGCTACTGTTT